CATTGAGTGAGTGCCTAGRTAAGAATGGGATGGCCCATCAAAAATGGGAAGTTCCACAAATATCCAAAGCAGTAAATGCTGAAAAGCATTTGATAAAGTACATCTAACTTGTTTTCTTTATCAAGGAATGAATATTGATTTGACCACACAAAAGCTGATTCTCATACATCTTTGTGAATACTTTTAATTAGTCCAATGAAGACTTTTAAAATATGCACAAACACAGAACTAGGGAAAAAAAATCATAAAAATCATCCTGGTAAATGGGAGGCACTGCACATTTGGGTGTGGGCAAACAATTAAGTTCAAATTCAGTAAAACTCTTAATTCCACTTTAGTGCCATCTATATTTTGCATAATACCTCAGTATTTGCTTGAGTCAGACTGAATTCAGTGGGATTAGATAATAAGCTCTAGTATCTCGCTGATTCAGAACGGAAGTTTTAATGCAAAGATAAATATTTAATGTAATATAACGAGATTCTTAATAAGCACAAGCAAAAGGAAAACTACTAACTGCAGAAATGAGATTTCAAAGTGAGGGGCAGATTTGCAAGCCCTGCCATAGGCTTCACCCACAATATTGTCATTAAAACCTGAATAATGTAAGATCATTTAGGAAGTATTTCAGCCTTTAGCATTGTGTACAAGTTAAGCATTTATCCTTACACAAACAAGCTATTTACAGTCCCATTCCAGCCCATTTTTCCTTTGATAGAAACAGCAATCACTGCAGGATGAAAGATGAGCTACACTCATGGCTAYTTGCTTGTATTCCAGCAGCGATAAAACAAATCATTAAGATCAAAGCACCAGCCATTTTAATAAACTGTGTGCACTGCTCTTATTGTGACTTATGGCTTTGCTCTGCAGAAAGGGACTATATAAAACAGTATAAAAGAGAAATAATTTTTTTTTACTGAATGGTTCAGTATTAACAATAAATACTGTATTTCTATAAGTATAAATAATACCTCTATGTTGTATGCATATCTATCTACTACTATACACGTAAGAAGAATGAAAAACTCTGGTTTTATAACTAAGAGGTAGGTCAGGTCCTGACTTGCTGGGGCAAAAGGGAAAARCAAATGTTCCCTGATTCCCCAGTTTAGCCACAGGCTTCTCTGGCTTCCACACCAAGCAGGGGGCAGTTTTATGACACAAATGACAAGAATTTGGGGAAGAGCTGCTATGGAGAATGGGATACCTTCAATATTATTATTATTATATAACTTAAGAGGCTTTCATGGCTTTTGTAAGATTTCGTTTGCAGATCCTTTATTTCAACTGCTGAATGCCTTTGCCTCTCCTCATATCTGGATATTCCACCAGCAAAGATGCCTGCCATCAACCCTTTGAAAAAAGCATTTTCTTGAAGGGAGACCCAAAACAAATGGGTGGCCAAAGCCACTATTCAGAGTTTTTGGAAGTTAGAAGCCCTAAGCCAGGACAAAGGGTTGGGTACAACCCCGTCTGCCTTCGGTAAATTTTCTAATTCATTGTGCTAAATATGCATATTTAGTAGTGATCAGTTGATTTTTCAGGATCCTGGCTAGGCTGGTATTGCTGGTCATCAGAAATCATTTGATTTGAGTTCTGATATGGAGGACTCAATACAGAAAATACGGAGGTAAAGAATAAACGTGAAACAATACAGAAGTAGAGCTTTTAATATTAAGCACTTCAGTGCCTAGTGATTTTTCCTAATTTTCACTATGCAAGAAAAAGGTGGAGCAGACTTGCACAATTTCAAGGTAAAATTACACCAATAATGCAATTTTTAACATAAGAGAAAACTTTTGAAAATGTTTAAACAGAAATATGTATTTCTCACTTACTATTCCATGAGGTAATTTTTGAACATACATGAGTCTTTCATCTTAAAATACATTCTTCTCCATGAAGCTGTCTGCTTGTTTTTAATTTTTTAATGCGTTTACCCCTTCCCAGTGCTTCTAACTACATTTTAGAACCTAATCCCTTAAAACTAATGAATGTTTCCCCTTCCTTTATAATCCATTTCTGCTGTTGCTTTGCCACTGATTATATCATCTGCACACATTATCTTCTCTCTTAYGAAAAACGTTGCTAAAGCATGAAACAATTCCACCATACAGATAAAGTATTAAGCGTTTTGTGCAGGTGAATAGCTCTTCCATTTCCCTTATCATTATCAGATTGGCCTATTCCTACAGGACTGCAGCAATTCTACAATCAGGATAATAATCAATGTCTCTTTCTCATTCTGTGAATATTGCTGATAAAAGAATGAATCTTTTTTTCACACTAAACTATGCAAAACAGCGCTACTCATTTAACTGTTTCACGAATCTCTGAACCACATGGATAAATGTGCTTTTGGATGAGCAGGGTTTATTCCACTGTACCAAGGGATGTGAGGCAGCACCTAATTTAGAGCATTAATTACTTACAGATACGTTATGTTAGCCTGATATGTACAGAAACCTGGATTATGAGAAGATTTGGCTTGATTGATTGAACYAGCTAAAGTTATAAAAGAAAATTTTGCATTTTGAGTGTAGTCTCTCTATGTGTTATTYGCCAATCCAATTCCTCCCAAAATACAAACAAATTCAAATGTTTCTAATGAAATAAGTATATTAGTAATAACGATATGCTTTCCCACCCCCAATTAAAAAAAAAGCAGTTTGCTGGTATATAAGTGGCAAAAGTACTTAGAATTCTACAGCTATGCTATTGGAATGCAAKAAGTATTGCAGACAACAGATTTTACTTTACTCCTCCATTCTTTCATCTGATGCAAATACATTAATCCTGAGACTGACTTAGAACCACTCAATTTTCCTTGGTTTGAATTGAAATCAGCCACGTCTGCCTATTTGTGATAATTGATGGGTGCAAACTATAAAACTGAAAAAAATGGCATGYAAGAGCAGTGCCATTGTGCAATGTCATATTCCCATCTCAGTAAACACATTCTCCAAGCTAATGATGACACTCTGGCTCTAACCAACCCTRAGCTTTAGCAAGTCCATTTCTTTTCACCTGTGGTTTATGTTAATCTGCAGATGTYCTGCTCCATTACCTGAAGCACAACTGGACTAACTGGAGCAGTTATGGATCTGTGCCACATTTCATATTTTTTTTTGGTAAATTCATAAATTTTAAAACTTGTAAATTTTTAGAATTGTATATACAGAAGATTTGYTTTGCTTTATTTGCTTTTTATGAGCAAATTTTATATTTGCTCATACATGGAAAGGCRGCAACTCAGCACAATAAAGGTCTATATAGAACCTGTAGATCATTTTGTGWGAAGGTTTKTTCCTCCTCATTTCTTTCCTTCTTTCAGAACACTTTAAATTCTCATCTGCAGTTTGCTGGATTCAAAATGTGTAAGTATAATAAAAAGGTCCTCACTTGAAATTTTGATCAGAAAGCACTGACCATGTTGAACCAACTTGTCCCTGGGAATTTAGATAGTGTCACAACTCGAGAACAGGCACGGGTCAAACTCATGCCCAAAAGGTGAAATTTCCTTGGGAAAAGAACAAGCTTTTGTTCAGACCTAGCTCACAGAACCTCAGTTGTGCTGATTAGCATCAATAGGCATTTTCTGCAACACAATACAACAGAATGATGTTGATGATTTCATTTGAAAAATGACTGACTATTATTTTTTGCACTGATTGAAATGTACTTATTGAGAGAAGAATCCTGATTTAGAGCTAATATTTCCATTTGGAAGGGACAGTGCCACCTTAATGATTTAGTTTTCTTAAAAAATACACCTTAAATCATAAAATCAAAAATTCTGTGTGCATAAATCAGCCCTTTTTATTCCATTCCCTATTTTTAAAGTATATTAATATTAATATTAATATTTATTAATTAAATATTAATTACTAGTAATTATTAAATTACTTTATAATCACTTGAGAATTATCAGATCACTTACAATAAAATATTAATTTTCTCAGACTTTTTGACTTTGAATTCTTACAGAATTCATGTCAGGACAGTATTTTTGTGATTCTTTGAGAAGAYATTTCAACACCATGCAAATGGAAGTGCCTCTGAGCAGGCTAACTGGTACATGCAACATGTAACATGYAGACCACGGTCTGAAGTCACTCCACAATTTATAAAGAAAGCAGAATTCAAATTTGACTGGAAATATCACTGTTTTCTTGAGATCTGGTATTTACATATGGCAAAGTGGTGGGTGGATAGCTATAACGTGCAAATATTAGAAAGAATAGCTGTGTAAGATACTGTGCCTCACCACTGGAGAAGGAACATTTAAAGGAAATGCACTTGGTAATTAGATTAATAACAGACATTTAATTTAATACAAGCAGGCAGCCTGTTTGAAAGCAACAGAACTACATAATGTGATCAAAGCATATTTGGTCCAATTACTTGCATTTGTTTATCAGTTTGAAGGCATGTTGTGTACATACACTACCACTACCCTTAAACATTTATTTCAGAAGAGAGTGCAATATTCAACAAGAGAACACTGAAAAAACCCATGGGTTTACTTCTGAGAGCAGACACCCTCAATAAACTGTTCAGGCAACCACAAATTCACTTTCAAGCAAAACTTGTCAGAAATACTGTTCAGCAGGATGGGACAAAAAGAGACTCCCAACTGTATCAGAAAGGATGCTGCCAGCCCCTGCGAAACAGCCTCCAAGCTGTTAATCTTGAGCCCATGAACACAAGAAAAATCCACTCAAACATGTAATTTTAACATGTGGATACAAACCTGAACCTTGACACACAACTCAGCCAGTCAGCCAGGAACTGTGACGTTCTTTATCATGACACTGATCTAAACTCAGTGTCACTCCCAAAAGCAGGTTAAGGAAAAGAAAGATTAGTCTGACGTGAAGTCATTCCTCTTAAGTGCCTAAACACGGAGCTGCTGCAGCCAGCCACAGGCAGTCATCAATTTCAYACTGTGAGAACGCTTTCCAAAGACAACTCAGTAATCAAACGTGGTTATTTACCTGTCATAGTCTTGGCAAATCTCCCCAACAGCTACCAATGCTTTCAGGTACTCGTTGGGCTGGTAGGGGTGGATGTAGTGCAGCGAGCAGCTGTTCCTCGGGTCGCCGTTCGATGCRGTGAAATCTATCGCTACCTGGAAAAGGAGAGAAGTCAATGTGCTGCAGAGCTCTTCTGAGCATAAGCACACTTCCATCAAYGATATATCTTTACCAGAAACAATTTGCTGCAGAGAGAGCAGCCTTAAAGCAAAGGTAATTTAACAGTGTACTTAATCRAACTGGAATTAGGATAGTACTGGTTACAGGATGTAGAAGCAAATGACAGTTTATAAAATAAGAGATAATAAAATTAAAATAGCATAATTAGGTAAAAAATTACCTGCATTGTTATTCTATGAGGAAAATAGAATGTTCTATTATGTTCTAATAGAAATGWATCAAATTAACTATGTACAGATTCTTGTATTTAATTGAACTATTCCAGCACAGGTGACATTCAGGACATAAAAACTTTGCAGTAAAAATGTCTGTAGAGAGTTACAAGTCCTACAAAACTATAAATTGAAACTCCAATTCGGGTAATTTCTTAGCTATTTTAATCCTTACTGTGGCTGCAGTAGTAGATATTGCAGTAGGTATTTTTTTGTCTTCAAAACATCTAGGCATTAAATAATTAACAATTCACAGYTGATAGCAAGCTTAAACATGACCTGCAGGGTAAAAATAGAGCTTAAATCCTATGAAGACTTTTTTATTGTTGTTGAAAAACCTTAGAGAAGATTGTGGGAAGTAGCCAATGCAAAAGCAAGTATTAATGAATCCTCTTAAAATTAATTTCTCCCTTTTAAAATGCTCTTTACACTTCTCACTGAAGGTAGGCTCTGGCATGCATCTTTCTCTGTGATGGTTCAGAAAGTCCTCTGCTGAATTTGTGATGCTGCTTTATAGGATTTCCTAAAAGGAGCAACAAGAATCCCAGGGGTCTTAGAGAGGGAACAAAATCATTTGTAAAATTTCCTTGGGATTTTATCCAATAACCTATTCCTCTAAAAAGCCCATTACACATTAATATTCAATAGACAAATGCACAGAGTTCAGTTTTACAGTGGAGCTGAAAGGTAAGAAAGGGGCCTTGCTAAAGGCTGCAAAAAGAGCTCTGAAGGCACAGTTTGCTTTTGCGAATTTTCAGCTTCCCCAGCTGCAGCCCCTGCTTGCCCAGGGARCACTATTTTATGCAGCTCTAAAAGSAAAATGACACAYGACATTTTCATGCTTCCTAAAAAAATTACAAAGCCCTTCTGAAACTTGCTTTTTGTTGCTAAAAAGTAAAAGGGAAACATCATACTAGGTCAACCCAACATGGCTTTCCTCCACTGGTTCTGATTTTTCACCTCCATCTTTTAGCTGAAGAAACTGGTTACTYTAGCAGGCTTGGAAATCCCTTCTTTGCCTTGATCATCTGTGAACCCCTGGCACCTCACCACAACCAGTCRGGAGAGAGATGAGTTTTTTGGCTTGCAATTGAAGCAATCTTTCACCTCTGCTTCCTACTCACTGTTTTTGCACCAAAGCACTGAGTTTGTTTTCCATCTAGATCTTTTCCCAAAAATGGTGTCTGGATTTAACTTGAATAAATCAATGGAAAACCTCTCATGCCTTTACTTGTGAGGACACATAACTGAGGAATGCTACACATATATAAAGGAGGAAGAAAGGAATACTAGTGGTTTATGAAACCTAAAGCAAATTCAAGGACTAGTTTGGTTTTGAGATAAATGTTTGTAAAAAATCTTATTCAAGGTACGCATATTTTCTTAAAAACAAGTATACTTTCTCTGATATGAATTCCACCACAATTTGAGTATAAAAATATCATTATATGATAGAGAAACAAAGGTTATTCTTGTAAAATTGTTTAAAGTAGGTGTTTTTACTGATGATCTCAAAACACTACAACACACTAAGACTCTTGTGACACATCAAACAGAACTGGACAAGTAGTCCTTTGTGGCTCTTGGCCATGGCTAACAGCTTTGGAAATGAAAACAAGAACGAAAACAAGAATGAAAACAAGAACAGGGCATAGGAATAAGGAGGGGGTTTCATAAGCTTGGAAAAAAGCCTGTGGCTAGTGTTTGAGAAAGCAAAAAACACTTCCTGGAACAAGCTTCCTTTTGGAAATGGTCCTTGCAGTAGAGGACTGCTGGTAAGTAAAAAAAAAAAATCCTGATTTCCTATGATGAAGAATTTATGAATATTTGTGCTTGAATGCAATGTGCTTGAATTTGATCCAAATCTGTTTGACTCCCACAGGAAGGACTTATAAGAAAGATGACCCCTGCAAATTGCCACGGTTCCGAAATAACAATGCAGAACTCTGCTCCTTCAGCGTTACTCAACAGTACCAAGGACTTGTGCAAATACATCAGATAAGGATTTGTAAAAATAAGTTAATATAYGGCAGAATTTATGTTAATATCATAACTAAGCTTATCTTCTGGGTAGCAAAGTAGGAATCTTTCTTACAGAACGTACATTTGATTTTTATCCATGTATCTTTAAATGTATCAGCTCCAATCTTTAAATGTATCAGTTCTAGTCATCTTCCCTCAGCTAAATAAGAGCATAACCGAGGAACAGCTACACTCAGCACTGGTTTCTTTTTTTTTTCAGCCTTGTAAAAGGGTGATTTTCACTACGCTTGAAACATCCTACAKAGCTGGGACCTCCTGCTAGATCTGTCAACAACAAATCAGGCTGCCCAATACCAYGACCTGCCTGAGAGAGCATCTGTCCAATATATCTTTCTATTACAGTTTCCTTTCATGCATGTTACACATCCTTTCTGCTGTATTTCCAGAAGTGATGAAAATGTCTTTTGACTACAGACCCATTTGCACTGCCAACTTCTGCAGCAGGGTACACTGTCTGATAAGAGATACAATGTTTGGCAATAAGTTGGGCATAAAAATAGAGGGCTGGAATCAGCACTATTGATCTCTGTAGATGAAAGCTTCTTAATAACTGGTTTTAAAGTGAAGGAAAAGTTTACTTTCGTTTTTCAGAGACATTCTTTCTACATAAAAGCCGTGTTTTCTACAACAGAGATAAAAAGTATCCCAAGAACACATAGCACGATGTTTACCAAGGCTTTCATTARTGCCTTAAATAAGCAGGTACATCATACTACAGCTTTTTGTTATCAAATGTGTGCTTAGCATCCCAGTTTCCCTCCCTCAGCAAGTGCCTTTTCAAATCACAATTGTATCATGCTGCCTSTACACAGCACGAGCTCACCCGAAATGTCATTAATACTGAGACAATGACAACAACAATACACACAAAAGGACAGTTTAAAATAATCCCAGATCCACTATGGTTTAGAAAAAAAGAAAATCTGGGAAAGTCCAAGGAATAGGGCTCCTCTGTGTCAGTGTCTGAATTATTCAGATTAGGACTATGTGAAAAAGAGATTATACAATGCATGCAGAAAGCAAGGGAGCGTGGAATATCTCCCCAGGAGGCTGCACCCTTTCATTTCAGTGACCGCTGGAGAATTAATTCCTGAAAACAACAACAACACATCTCACAACCAGTCTGWGCAGTCATACTGAGGACTGGTGGAAGAAAAGTGAAGAAAAATATGTGGAGAGCCAGTTTGTGATGATGGCTAGGTAGAGCCACTAGGCTATGCCTGCAGAGGGCTATCAGTACAGAGATGCCACAATGGCTAAMCCTGGGTCCGTGCAGCTTGGAAACTGATAGTGACGAGTTTGCACAATGACGTGGATTTACCATTGAGGGCAACAGTGATGCAGGGATCTCTGTGGTTCACAGTACATKACTCTTCCATTTCCTTTATGTCCTCACTGCCCATCCTTGAAAATGAGCTTACTTTCTATAACCAATTGTTTTGTTTCATTTCCGCAAAATGAAATATAGTAAAATATAGTAGAAGCAATACTATCAACTTTAGCCCATTTGCTTTAACCCACCACTTTTAAATTTGTGTTTCACAGCCTACTAAYAGAAACCTGTGACAAGTAAATGAAAGGCAAGCAAATGGCCATAACCCTTGCTTGCACTGTGTAAGAACTTGTTCTCCCACTGGAAAACATTTAGGAGGAATCAGAGTTTGAAAAGCAGAGCTCTAACTTAATATGTAAATCCCCAGACACTTTCTAATGGTGGCAGTGCCCCTGCTCTTGAGCTGGAGTTGTGGGAAATGCAGATTATCTGGTCTTTGAATGTGCCTAAGCACATGTCCTAATTAAAAAAAGCTTTCAAATAATACATGAAGACATTAATGTCTCTCTGATAATGACCTTGAACATTTGATAATTGAGTTCTTTCAGTCATATTTTTAGGGAGGAAATGTCAGAAAAGATAAACTAGAGGGGCTTCCAGGGATTGCCAAGTTTCAGATATGAAGGAGAAATGTGCACTGCAGACACATGGGGATGAAAGAAGAAGCAGCTGGGTATGGCAGTGAGGTAATTACACAGCATGCTTCATATGAGAGAAGACAACTGTAAAGATCTTTGTCCACTGCAGAAGGTATTTCCTTCAAAACCAGAATGGAATCCTCAGTTCTGGGTGTTATCCAGTGAGTTTGTGATATGCATGGGCAAAATCCATGTTTAACACCTCAAAAAGCTGATCTGTACACAAGAAGACAATCCACTACTGTCTACAGCTGCTGTTTGAACTTTCTGGTACAACAAAAAGAAAAGGTTTTTTTTTTTCTTTTTTTTTTTTTTTTTGTCAAATCTTTCTGGAAAATGAAGGCTTATATTGAAAAAGTATCCAATACATTTCCTGTAGCATCCAATGTCTGATATTTGCTATGTGGAAGCAGCAATAGGGCAGGATGCTACAGGAAAATAAAATATCTTCTGAAGAAGAATATTACCTTGGTGCATTAGATTTTAGCTCTTTAGCTGGCATGAAATAGAAGTCACATACACCAGATTGGAATTGGTCTCATTGTGGATTGGAGCCACAATCTGTGCTCCTATGCTATGGGAAATACTGATATATCATATTATATTAAGTATATTAATTTTTTGATACATGATACAAAAGAAGACTAAACCCACGCATCATTAAATGTTTCTAAAAATTATTAATTGAAAATAAGAAAATTTTATTTCTGTTTATGGAGAGCCATGAAAATCCTTTTACACCCTGTTCCTTGAACTGAATAGCTTCTGAGAACATGCTAAATTAGAACTGTGGAGGCATCTTATTGTTGGCAGCTATGGCTGGGATGTGAAACACCAGCATTTACCCCAGGCTGACAGAGAGCAGTCTCTGGCTGAATCCCTCACTCTGTGACTTTCTCTATGGCACCATTTCAGGGGAAACYACTTGCTTCAAAGGAGGACTCATTCTGGAAAGGAAAACTGGTCCTTAATACATTTTGCAGGAAGAACTTAATAATTTACCAAGGAATGGCATGTAAGAACCCTTTCTCTGAAAGTAATGAATTGGTATCTAAGGGAATTCCCTTTCTTCAAAACAAGTTAGAGAAGTAAGACACTTACTGTAAACTGTATTTGGCAGCCTCCCATGATATAATCTAAGAAAGAATGCATCTTGTGGATCTGCAGACAAGAAAGCAGGACACTCAACTTAGCTGTGTACTGATRAAACATAACAGAACTGCCCGAGAGAAAAATAAATTGGAAGGAGGAGAGTGACCAACTGAAAATAAGGTAAAGGAAGAAATTGTTAGATACAGTTTGAGGCAGAAACAAAACTGTAAACAGAAAAGAATTCTAAACCTACAGAAAGGAAAATTCACATAAAAAGTAGAACCAACTTCTTCACAGTGGGAAGTCAGTGGARATTCTGCTGTTGGTTTAGGAGGGACAAGAACAATTTTGTAGAAATAATGGAAGGATTAAAAGAAATACACACAAAGTTGGCAAGTCTTTAGGCATTAGAGTTTAGTATMATCTTTTACATTGTCCAACAGCAGGGATAGGGCAAGAGAAATGAAACAGAAGAGTTGAGGACAATCAATTTAYTTTTGAGATTCAAGTCCTTGTCTTTCCTTTTTAGGGGATAGTTTCCATTGCTGTTCTAGAGGCAGCTCTACTTTGGTCCAAGCACCATTAAAATATATCACTAAGAGCTTAGTAAAGAAACTGTCAAAGAGCAAAACATATATTTACCTTGCACTGATTAAGGATGACAATGCCTGAGTTCTTGTAATTCTTCTTCTTTGCTTTGTACTTGGGGTTAATGCATTCCCATTGTACCTGTGAAAAAAAACACAGTTGCTCTCTGCAGGAAAATTTTATGTACAGATTGAATTATTAACAAAAACTGCAGTGCCTGATTTCCACAGTTGACTAAATCATAGYAGATAAAGGTGCACAGAGAGGAAAAAATGAAAATTATTAAATATGCAGAGAATAGTTAATAGAAAAAAGCCCAGGGCAAACATCAGTCTTTGAACATGTACATGTGGACATGGCACTGAGGGAGATACCCAGGTTCTTTTGTTGTCATCTTCCAGTCTTGTAGTTTCAAGTGTTATGTAAGGAAGATTGAGGATCTTTTGAGATCATTTAGGAGGACAAAAAAAGAAGGCACTTAATACAAATGAAAATACTGGAGAGAACAACGTGGTGCATTGTATTAACTACAAAACTGTTGTCACAGTAACACTGAATTCTGTATAAAACTCATCATAGGAGAAATTCTGGTCAGCAATCATCTTGCTTTCTCCCTTAAGTCTGATAGGAAAATAAAAAGTAAAGAAAATCAGTAAAATGTTCACAAAGATGCAGTTAAGTAATTAYTGATCCATTTGAAAACTATCCTKTTAATTTTTTTTCCTAAYTTTATTTACAAATATAAATTTTACAGCAAAAYAGTCCCACCTTGTTACTGAAATACATTTTCTTGTTCTCATCATAACATCTCCCAGGTTMTTAATCACTTCCACTTCAAATGTTCTGCCTTCCTCTGTTTTCAGGCAGAGTGATAAAGCCAAGTTTTCAGCCCCTGACCTCTAATGTCTATAATATTATTCATGCCTTCTACTGCAGGAGTAAAATGTTCATTTGTACATGCAAGTATCTATTGGCATTTGTACATGCAGATTTTTATCCATAATATGCTGCCAATRTGGTTAGTAACATGATTATTTTCCTTCAGGAAACTTTTCAAGTGTGGGGACAAAACAGGTGATGCTGGGTAACATAAAGAAATAACTACAAAAGGAACCAGAATGATCTGTTATTAAAAATCCCTATTATGGCATTTGAAATGGAGTATTTCTTAAGTGTTATAGTGCTTTGCCTATAGTGAAAACCTGCCCAACTCACCTATAGTGAGGTACATATTTTAGCAAAATGTTTGAGCACAAAACCCTATTTTTACCTTATGCACAGCCTCAGAAATTTCATCAAGCTTCAAACCACTGCCTAACAGCAATTATCTGGATGTSTCTGAAGTATTCCAGACTAAGAGATTTTGTCAAACATCAAAAAAAGGGGAGGYAAAACATGTGGCTTTGGAGCAATATGAGACCATTTCTGCACAGGGGATGAGAAGTATTTTCATCACTGTGAAATGGAGATAGGTGACAGAGTGARGAATGGGAAAAGACAAAATAACTGTTCCAACTGCAGGAGGCACATCTGCTTGCTCTCCCMGCTAGCCTACAGCTCAGATATTTGTCTTGTGAAACAAATTTTCTGACTGAGAAGACAGGCAGATACAGGCCCCCATGTTCAGGGGAAATCCTCCATAAACATTTTTTCTCTACTCAAGGGAAGCAGTCAGGCCCAAGAAATAAAAGCCCTTCTCTCCAAGCGAAGAGAGTGGTCTGTGGCACAAAGCTGCAGTGCAATAAGATCATATTTGGGTCTGAGAACAAGGCAAACACACTGCCTACTCCCATCTTGATAAGTTGCTGTCAGGCAAAATGGTTTAACACACAGTTAAATATCTCCACACTTTACTGSAAGCATTCCTACAGAGGAATCATGCTGTCTATATGTTGTACAAAACCTGTAACATATCAAATAGAAAGAAAAAATAGGAGACAGGATTTGTGTCACCAAAATACATTGCAGAGGTCTAGTAGTTTTCCCCTGAACATCCATGGTGAACCTCCTTAATCCTAGCATCCTCCAATACGAATATTTTTCAATGTGCATATCTAAACAAGGCCTGACCTATACGAATCCATACACTATACATATAATTTCTCTCCTTAGGAAAAGGATTATTAAAGCCATTTAATAATTTTTGTTCATGGTATTTGTTTATGGAAGAAGTTGTCAATAAACAAGGACCAAAGTGGCATAAAACAGTACTTCAGGGGAGGAAAAAATCTCTCAGGTTCCCTTTGCTAACTGTAAAATGCAATTATGAATTTTCACCTACCTTGCATAGCATTTTGAGATGTATGGATAACAATTCTCTAAAGCTCATTAAAATATTCTATGTGCAAGTCACTAACATTATTGGCTTATGTGGATAATAAAGAAGAGGAAAGAGGAGATTAGAAAACTTAAAGAAAGTATGAAAACAGAAAGAAAGAAAATTTTGCACTTATTAAATCTGTTGATGATAGTATAAAGAAGGGATGGGAATAAGAGAGGAGAGAGAAGACATTTCCCAGCTCATAAGTTTAAAAAAGTCAGCAAGACTGATTTACATAAAACTCAACCTTAACTTACCCACCAAGACCCWGTTCTGACCTTGGCAATTCCCACAGTTCAAAGACGTAGCAAGCATCATTTGAAGGAAATTCCCTATACAGRTCTTACTCTATCTCCAGCTTTCATAATGAGAACAGAGTTCAGAATACAGCTCTAAGCAGGTAAGTAATAGTGAGAAACAATTCTCAAATATTTTGCTTKCACTGTGAGGCCAACCTCAATTTCCCGTCTGTTTCTACATTCCCAGTATTGATTTGGTATCTGACATTGTTTTTTATTGATCCATTTTTRCTCTTAAATTAACTTTTCAGTTGAGAGGAAACTAATGCAATAGTCTGCAATCTGACACTAATGGTAAACATTGGGAAGTTTGGATTCATCATTCTRAAAGTCACTTAGCATTTCCTCCAAATGCCTGACAGTTCTGAGCTGTGCAAGCTCTTTGCCTGTCAAACAGCTCAGAGAATCGGAAACAGAAAGCAACCTGGTTTTAAACTATCTCCTGTTTATTTAAGTAATGCTGCAAATGTTGGTAATAGACTCCCAAGGCTATGATGTGTTTGTGCTTCTTTTATACACTTAAATTTAAACCACTGTGTGGAGAATTTCTGAACAAACTYCATTCAGCTCTTCTTCAATGAGAGTCAGTGAACTAATGGTTACATTTGGAAGGTCCCAATCCTCTTGTGCCCGTAATGAAGAGACACAGTTCCCTCAGTGGAAGAAATTCCTCTTTGCAGTGAAGGACACTGTCTTTCCAAACATCCTTACCCCTTCTCCTGCAAAACCTTCAGAAGAGAGAAAAGCAAACTGCAGCCACTTATGCCACACACCAGCAAAAGCACGTGGAGATGACTAAATGAAGGCAACCATTGTAGAACCAAAATTTGGGCAGTATGTGGCTACCAAYAGCACAAGCTCTTCAGAGAAAGAGCTGAAGCTGTCAGAGTGTTTCACATACCCTAAGGCAAGACAAACACTCATGGAACAGCTCGTGCTAGCATGCACATGTTCTCCTACCTCCCTGGCACTTATTTGCTTTCACTTTTCTTCTTTCCTGTCCAGCTGCTGCAACAAAGTGTATCGTTTGTAAATGACAAATGAGGCACCACAGTCTAATGGATGGGGCAAAAAGCCCAATCAAGAGCAGGCAGCATTATATCCTGCACTGTCTCTTTCTGACGCCTTAAGGAAAACAAGTTGCTTTTAAGTGAACTGAGTCTCCTCCCGCATGAAAGGCTACTTTATTCCTGCCATCCCTGAGGCAAGAGGACAGGATAGGGTTTTTTTTCTCTTTCTGTCCCAGAAATACATCCACCAGGGGAGAAGAGCTGCTTTTAATCACTATCAGAGATTTCCCTGGAAACTTGCCCCTGGGGAATGAAGTGAAAATTAAAGCATTTCTTGTTTCCCTGGCSAAGGCCCCCAGCCTCCCTTGCTCTTCTGAGGCTGGACCACTGGTTGCCTCCTCACAGGGATTTGGCACATCCTGATGAGGCTGCACCCTCCACCCTCCTTCTGTCTGGGGCCAGCAGTTGCTGCTGACGTTGCAGAGTCTCCTGGGGGAACTTGGCTGTTCCTGATAAAACTGTGCATGGAATTGTCCATGGGTGTCAATAAACACCTTGGCCCATTATCACGAGCTTGAAGGTCTCACCATGCACAGCCATCTGAAGAGCTACCGGATGCAAAGGCTGTCCCTAATAACAAACTGAACTTGTGGGAATGTCAGTGGAGATGGGAAGTACAGCAGGGCTTCCTCTTCCTCTTTCCTTTTGTGTGTGTGCACATGCACATGCATCCATTTTTTATGTAACAGAGAACAGATTTTTCCCTTATGTAATTCCCATGCTGCATGGGGATCCAGGTGATTTCCCTGACTTTTTTCCTCTCAAATCCCTCTGGCTTTATTGCCTCAACTGAAAAAAAAAAACCAATAAAAAAAAGTGCATTTTTTTCTCATTAGTAGAGGATTTCTCCTTTCAGCCATGATAAGCTTTAATAGTATTTACATTTTTATAATCTCAAGCTTCTTCTAGTCCTGTTTAAATATGCTTAATAGATTAATTTTAGAACAACTTTAAAACTGCCACTGCACACACATATTAAAAACATATATTATATATATTCTTGGAAGAAATCCTCAGAGTATTTATTAGTATTTCACTTTAAATGATGTCATAAATAGGGATGGACTTACTCTTACTGAGGGTTTTTTTTTTTTGTGTCAAGATTATGGAGAAGGAGTAAATAATGAAGTTTGGAATGGTGCAAACTGTTAACAGAATATTTAGAAACCACAGAATTAGAGCTGGAAAAGACCTCTAGGATCATCAGGTTCAACTGATGATCAACCCAGAGTCACCAAGTGAATAACTAAACCATGGCTCATGCAATGACTTTGTTAGATGTGCATTTGAACATGAGGGGTCTCTGTGCCATTTTTTATTGGAGGTCACTATGAAAACAGGCTAGGTGTCAGAATATAACAGTCTGTGACCACAAGGTAATTTTTATGGAACAGAAACACACAAAGTTATTATCCTGAGGTTGTTCATGACAAGAAAGGCTTCTTAAAACAGAAGACTTCTGTACTACCAACCAAAGACCARCAAGATTTCCCAGAATTGAGTCCTCTCAGTCATGGAGAAAAACCTGACACTCTGAAAGAGTCATAGTTCAACATTTGTGAATCTCACCCAAGGCATACCACATTCAGAAAAGAAATTAATAAATKACTTATGCCATTTCTGATCAAAACAAGGTATCTCATTCAGGTAGGAAATTTTCTCTTCACACAGAACTGGTTCAGCCACTCAGAAGATGCCAGTGCTAGGTAAACAGCATTTATCTAAATGATGCTTGGTCTCAAACACACATTTCTGAGAAATCTCACAGCTGAGGAAACCAGCAAGCCAATTGTAAATTCATCCAAGGCTGACACTCAAAACTTGGGATAATCACTACATAGCCCAGGGATGGAAGCGGAACAGCCTTGGAAGCACCACCACCTGTAAGTAAGCAGGTGACACACACCCATTCTGTCCATCTCAAGTGGTTCTGTAGCAGTTGTTAGATTGGCTACAAGACAAAAATACCTTTGCTTTTAGAGGGCGAGGTTGAAGAATGGGTCAGAATACTCTGTGCTTTCTGAAGGATGAACTATGTACATACAATTAAAAGGCAACTTCAACATCCTTGTCAAGTCCTACAGAGATGAGATGAGCTGGTGAAATGGTGAGAAGCACCAGCAGTTCACAGGTGACACACAGTCTGTCCTGCTCCCCAGCACAAGCYGTGGTACTCCCACTCTTACTGCTTAATGCATTTATGGCAACTTGTGCTGCTGATTCCAGCCCATAGAGATGGTGCTGATGGACACCTGTGCCACTACAGCAGCCTCCTTWAAAACCACACAGATTTGTAGATGATGCTTAAGCAAAGTTCTTGGATTCCCTGTCAATGATGAATGTTCCTGCCAGTTCTCTCCGGGGAACTGGGGAAGTGAAAGTTTCCTGGGGAAGTGAAAACCCATGGCTGACAATCACTAGGGTGTTTTGATTATCTTTTGACAGAACTATAGCAATGAAMTGTAGCTGGCTGTAAAGTCTACTGCACAGAAGAAAATGCAACCAGAACAAGAAGCTTCACTACATCTCCTTAGCAACTAAATTGGGACATCAGACCTGAGCTCTGCTCTTTACTCTGGCTTCACAGCATCTGAGATGAAGTTCCAGGTTTTGGTCCTCATCTTTGACACTCAACACTCACTGTTGTGATGCTGTGTGAAAGAACATTAACACCAGGGGCTGAAGGACGTAGTTTTATTCCTCTGACTGAAAGAAGTGCTACACTGAAAACAGTATTTTCTGGCCAGAGGCTATGAAGGGTCTCTACTAGGAACAAAGAACTATGTTTAACCTACTCATCTCCCCACCCACATATAATTATATTTCTCTGATGTGGCCTTCTTTATCAGAAACAGCTAGCAACACATCTACTTGAAGACAAAACACCTTCCTTCTCCTCTATAATTTCCCCAAGGTTTATTATAACCTCTTTATTCAAAGTAAACACTCCACTGCACATCCTTTTTCTTTAGGGAGACTAAAACTAAAGAAAAGAACTGACAAATACTAATCATACTACTTAATGTTGCACAAAGGATGTTGACATAAACTGTGCACTAAGATGTTTTTATAGGGTCCACAGACAATGGCATGTATTGCCTTTAGCAGCAATAGCTCTTTCTGGAGAATACAGAAGAGTGAGATAGGCTGAGGGAGGGAAAGCATAGGACAGGGAGAGAGAGAAAGGGAAAGGGAAAGGGAAATTGCTTTCTGGCTGCAGCCAAGTGAAGTGGCTTCCCACACAATTGACCTCTCCTGCACAACATGTGATCAYAGCACTGCTTTCCATAAGTATGACATCTTCACCAGGACCTGCTCAAACTCCCACTGTTCATTCTTGTCTATCACGCTACCAGTGCTCACCAAACCCTGCGTTTGTCAGGGGAAAGAGCCATCTAGCATGGGCATCTTTATTTTTGGACCACTATTTATCAGCCACTTAAATGATTAATACTTGCTATCTTACCCACTCAATCTTGTTTTCCTCTGGAAYAGGCTACACAACAAGGACTACAAAAGAGGAGAAAGGAAGCATTCCCACATTGGTAATTGTGTCCCATGAGAAGTAGCTATAACAACAGYAGGGTTTTGCAGCTGCAAGCCCACAGAATAACTTCATAGAATGAGAGGAACAAGGAAGAAAAAAAGGCACAATGCCTAGGGTGTGTGGAGGAAGAATGCAGGTTAAAAGGTAAAAAAACAGCCTGCACAATGGCAAATGGCAGGCCCATAGCAAGAGTAAGAATCAGGCACTTAAAGYATAGGGCAACATTAAAACACTTCTGGACAGGGCTCTGATAATGCAGTGACAACTTAAAACAAGAATTGACAAATGTCTGTACTAACTTCATATGCCTCTGAAAGAGTAATTATGCTTTTTGCTACCTGAGGGTAAAAAAAATGTTCAGTGTTTCTCTGTCAAAATAAAGAATATGTAGTTTATCCTTCAGAGCCATTCCTGACACTCTGGACTGCAAGGATCTTGACTGGGCCAACAAGCTGTCTCCTGGGAAGGACCACGATGTGGTTTTAAGACATTTATATTGAAAGTACACATTCTTTRCCACTCTCACACAGTCCCTTCCTGGGCCACAGGTATTTGTATACAAATCTGGAGTGTTGTCACATCACTGGCCTTGTTAATGTTATTCATTCTGGGATCTGTTTACCTTTTTATTTCCACTCAGATTTAGTTTAAAAATAGTTTTGATCCTCTGACTTMATTTGAGAGAGCAAAACAGGGTTTCATTTACACTCAAGTTGTGTTTGGAAGTTATTTATAATGGACTAGTATCTGACTGATACATACTAGCARTATTTTACACACATGAGCAGGATTTGCCGAACTTTACTGGATTCTAAGAACTTCAATAGAAAACATCTAGAGGAGCCATAAATATTTCTTCACCTATGGCATAGACTGACTGTTTGCCATTTATCAAACACCTTCTGACTCTGTTAGATTTCTACTAACACATTATAAACAGAACCTTAATATAAAGCCCATATAAAGGCATTTTATTAGTTATTTGTGTTTGGGGTTGAGATCACAATAGAACAGTGAATACAAATCATCCATAGATTCAACATTTTTGACTCCCTCTCAGAGAATTTATCAAAATTACACCTGTAGAATTAAGTAATAATAGAAAATGACTATTTCTGGAATTAGACATGCTGGACCACTTATCATAATGAATAATTACTATCAACTGCAATTGGAAAAGATCAGGTTKACATAAAGAACTAAAATTATTGATAAGCTAACAATTTCATTTTCCCTTAAATAATGAAACACTTAGAAAACCAATTAGTTTCGTCATGATGGGTTAAAGCTGGCAGCAGTGAATGTAGCACATGGGAAATGGAGAAAGATGGAGAATGACCCAAGAGAGCCCTTTAGGCCAGGAGGGAAATGCTCTGAGTAGCCMGACTGCACATTTGCTTTGCAGCACAGCACCTCATAGAAACCACGAGTTCAGCTCAAAGGAAATAATTCTTAGTGGAAAGAAATAGGAACTAGAAAAAAGGCCCGAAGTATTTCAGGCAGGAAAGTACAGGAACAATTKCTTTTTTGCATTTTCAGATTATTGYGTCCAGTTAACAGTAAAAGCTATGGGAAAGATCAACACAACAACTAAACAATTTAATACAACAATAACTAAATTCTGAGAGATGATGAGGCAATATCAGCTGCTTTATGACARGAATGTCTGAGAAACACTGCTCTACAGATATGGAGATTGCTTGGGTGGTTTCCATTTACCTGTCTTCCCTCCATAGCTCCTCGCATTTCCTTGAAAGTCGAGCTAAATTCTCCAATGAAGTCATGCTTTCCATTGGAATCCCAGTCCCAAACTATGCACTGGGGAGACAAAAGRGAATAGAACAAATGAGCACATTTTTTTTCAGACAGAAAAAGAGGTTTTATTGAAAAAAAACTACAGAAGAAATTATTATGTACACTGGGTGGACTGTTTTATCTAAAAGGAAATCACAAGACATATTAAAGCCATATTCTTGTTCCAATCAAAATAAAATGGCAAGTGGAATTTCAACACAGCTTGCTGCTGATAGTTCTGTTTTATGGAGTTCACCCAATGAAAACAAGCTCATGTATTCCAGAGAGGAAGGATTTCTTGTCTATATCTTTTTGCTAGGTGTGAAAATACAGGATTATGTGTATTTGCATATTCATGGTCAAATGGTGTCCTCACTCACCTCACTGACGTGCTTTACAAAAATAAATTAATATTCAAAATCCTGGTTGCCTTGGGCAAACATTAATGTTCTCATTTTTACAGTCAGTGAAGGTGAGACAATAGTTACAAATAACRTTTTTTGAAACGGCTTTGAAATTACACACGTCGGTGTTTGGTGCCCATATCTCGGCTGTTCCCCAGTGTTGCTCAACAGYGACTGTTCAAACCTAACTGGTAGTTTTTCCTAAATTCATGCATAAAGATGAATATCTCAATGAGTTTGTGCTTTGAGAATTTTACTTTACAGATTTTGCTAAATACAATCCAGCAAGCCAAGACCAAAGCACATAGCAACAATTACATGCTTTGCTAAATTATAATTTTAAAACTGCTCCAAAGACAACAAAGGGGCTCACAATTTTAATGAACAAAATCCCGAATTCAGCCTTATGTTCTTTCTAGATAAAGGTGACATATATTGACTGAATCAAGAGGCCTTTACTGCAAAGGTCCTGCTAAAAAGTTTGGTTTAGGTTTTTTTTAAAGCAGAAATGTGTCCAAGCCATCTCCACTGTCACATGAGGAGTACAATGGTATCTCACTATCAGATGGTTTTGTGGGTAACAAGTGGGTTTTATCAGGCTTCTTTGCCTCAATGAGGCTCAGTACTTTTGACCCAGCACTGGYGGTCAGACAACAGAAGAGAAAGAGTAAGTTTTGCTCCTCAAAGACTCCTCAAGCCATTTGAAGCTCACATAGTCTGAAGGGTCACTGAGTTCACTCAAGGAAATGGAAGTCACTGGATGTCAACTGKATTTTGGGTTTTACATATTTCCAAAAAAGCACTTTATTAAAACAGACTGCCCTGTCCAACAGCTATGCTTTCTAACCAGCCAAAATAWTCCAGTCAAAGCTGGTAGGTGAGCACTGTGGAAAATCCCTTTTGAGGGTGGGGGAAAGACTCTAGAAAACTTGAGATTTGAACCATCCTATCACCTGCAACTTTACTTGCCTTTTATTTTAATGCAGGAAARATCTCCAGTTCAAAATGTGAAAATAATTTTGCTCTAAGACTTGGAGAAACTTTTTAGAAGCTTTGACACTAAGGGGGTAGGTAGAGGGAAAAGAGGGGCTGTTCCTGTGTGTGTTTGTTGATAGGCTAAATTTTATACAAGAGTAATCAAATGAGAGTGGGTTTCTGATTTTGACAGTGGTAATGCTGCCTAGAAAAAAAATAGACACAGTATTTTCAAGACTAGCAGYCCTCAAGTATTCTTCAAGATGAAATCTTCCCTAATTATTACTCTCTGTTTATTATCAACAGCAATTTTTAGATGAGCTGGTAACAACAAAAAGAAATCCAAGTAAAACTAATTCATTTTATAAAAAAAATCTGAAACCATTTTTGTKTCCTAGAGCTTGAAACAGTTTCATTTTATTTTTTCTGTGAAATTTCTTGCTAATATAATTGGTCATTTTTAATTGAAATTACTTTATAAATATTCAATGAAAAAATGGATTTCAAAGATGAAGCATGACTTAAAATTATTTTTTTTCTGTAACGGTTGAAAAAATGATTTGGGATGCCACAAGTCATACTAAATAAAAAGATGTGTCAAAGTGTCTTAGAAAAATGGTTATAAATGTGCAAAAAGTGTAGTTTAGTAATGCTGGAATTTTTAAAATTTATGTTTTTGAAAAAATAACTACTTCACAAAGAAAAAGAAAAAGAAGAACCCTTATTATGAAATTATCSAACCAGATTTACTTTTCAGGTTCAGTCTGTAAACTCAATTGGAGCATAAATACAAGAACAGACCCAAGGCTGTCAGAGAGCTCCAGAAAAAGGTACTTTGAAAAATTTCTATTAGAGGGCTGACTCTTACAAAGACAAAAAAGCTCTGAGTGCTTATTTGTGGTTAGAACTTTGAGTGAAGACAAGCAAAGTTAAATTACATATAAAATRTCCACTCAACAGGGATCCAACTGCTTTTTCTTTCAAGCTAGAGGCTTTCTAACTTTAGTTTTCAGAAAGCCAGATGGTACTTTTATCTTCATATTGGCTTCATGGAAAAGGCAAACAATTARAGTATTATCTCAGTGCCATTTGTTCAATTACAGCTAAGGGAGAAAGGGGATTCCTGCAAGTACATCCATTATGACTTTTTTTTTCCCCAGAGTTTCACATCTGGCCATAGGAATTAATTGTTACTGCCCGAAAAACATGTTGTACACARTAATGATTCTGCATTTCAAATGTATGTGAAAAGCATTCCTGAAACATATAAATACTGTGGTCCAGACWTCTTTAGAAAAACCCACTCAGACACATAAAATAAGCAGGAAAGGATTTTTGCAAATAATCCATAATCCATAATCAGGTAAAGACCAGARGTGATAACCAAAGCATTATTTCCCTTATTTCCCTATGGAATACTTTAAAGGGTTTTTTGGTCTCTCTTTTCTTTTTTTTCTTTTCTTTTTTTTTCTTAAAGAAGGCCTTATGGGCACTTCAAATCAAATCCTCCATAACATGAGTCATCCTTTATCTTTAGGCAAACCTTAATGTGTTTTTGGGTCTGTACTCTTAAAGGTTGCTTAAGTAGATGATTAACAGTATACCTATACTCTACTAAAAGTCTCATTAATTTAAGGAGGCTTTCCACACACTTAATTTTGAGTGCTGGTAAATCAGTGTTCAGATAACTGGTGAAAGAGTTCAGTCTCCTACCTACTGCTYACAAGCTCAAATACAGGGAATAAAAACCTCTGCTAATGGCGCAGGGTGATGGAATACCACTGACTGGAATGATGGAGAACTTCTTTCACCCCTTCATGATCCTATCCTCCTCCCCAAAACACCTGCTGACTGCAGGGAGAGGAAAAACTCTGCCATCCTGAATAGAGGTAACCAGTAGACTCAGTTAAGATCAGAGGATCACTTGKGGTGACCCACATCTTCATTCCCTCAGCTTTTGTTGTAAATAGCACAAAATGAAAGATTTMTTTCAAGGCTGAAATGGAACCTTTCACTGGAGCAAGGTCCATTTTAAAAAGAAAATGATATCTCAGGTGGATGTYGATGGATATTTCCCCTGATTTAATTTCAATTTTTTCACCAAGATTAGATTTTGCMAATATTCTCACAACAAAGGGCATTCAAGAAAGATTGCACTGGCAGTGGAGCTACAACAGACAAGCTTCTCTGGCTGATTTTCCTAATGCATCCCAGAGAATGACAGCTAGATTAATCTTGCTACCTCTGCATGAGCAAGAACTCACTTGTGTGGTATCTGATTTTGTTGAGAATTTTTCCAAGTCTCAATACGACAGCAAACAAAATTCTGATACAATTGTAATAAAATAATTCTTCCCATAGTCATCATTCTCTCTACCTTTAACTACAAGAACTAAGTAAGAGAAAAGACTGGCTATATGTGTTTGTGTGGGGGTGTCTGCAGATACTGGGATTATTTTCCCTATGCACCTTCTGAGAAATTCTTGAAGTGGTTTGTCCCCATTAGGTTTTCATGATGAGAGAACTATTATATACAGCACCTCTGGGCACAGGTAATGGAGAAACTTGGAACCTAASCTTTGCAATTTATGAACCAGCCCAAAACATGCTCGGAAGGTTAGTTTTCTAAAAGACTGGCTAAAAGTGAGTGTCATGATTAAATCCTATCAGGAGGCAGMTGACAGCCAGACTGAGGAAATGTACTTCTGGAAAATAATCCATTTAAGTTGCCCTCAGCTAGCCAGRCACTGCAGATTATAGCATGCACAAAGCCAGTAAAACCAGAAAATTCCCAGTCTTGACAGCCTGAGTTTCTCCAGCTCTCTGTATGTTCTAAGTCCAATTATGAGATGGTTTGTGCTGGTACTACCTTGCCACTTAACTGGAGAAGCAGAGTGGTGGAGAGCTCTCCTGACAGCCTAAGAGCTTACTTAACTTAAAAACACTTGAATAACTTAAGACCAAAAGATGTGTGGGAGAGAAAATGGAATCTTTGGCCCATCTGCAGCTGCTCCATGCCAGCAGAAGTGCCAGACAGAAAGGCAGCAGCCTCCAGCACCCAGAGTCAAGTCCCTTGAGCAGCAGGCTCCCTGCCCTGATCWGGCTCTGATCCAGGTGAGATCATAGTTCATATGTTACATCAGAAAGAAGATTTTCCCTGTATTTTCACTTCAGTAAGTGTCCCCAGACACTCAATAAGGAATTGAAGAGGAACCGAACTCTCTCAAGGAAGAGAACTCTCTTTGTCCATTAATTGCCTGTAGTCCCTAGCTACGTGTTAGTGTAACAGTATGAACAARAGTGSTAAAATTCTGAACAGAAACTGTCTGGGATGGTTTTTCTTTTTTCCTTGCATTTTTTTGAAACAAGGTATGTTGTGGCTAGGCAAGAAGGAGAATGCTCATTGTTGAATTTGAATGGAATAAATTACAGCCCTGACAGTCATAAAATTCTTAGCAATTAACTTTAAACCAAAACAATACCACAATAATTTTTATAGGCAGAGTTTATACAACACTATATCTCAAAGAAGGGAGGTCTTAAGGCAACATCAGTGATCTGCTCTATTCCTTGTAGCCCTCTGAACTGCGGGTGGTATAAGATGGTAAATGGCTACAAACAAATCCTTCTTTGGTTCATCCTCTA